AGAGTCTCTGTTTCCTCGTCAACAAATCTTCAATTCTCTCACGACAGCTAACGCCGCAACCACGTCCGGCGACGGCGGATTGTCATTCGTTGAGTTGGGTTTGTTTGTGGGCTTAATTGGTGGCAGCAGTCAGCAAGCGAGAATACAAAGTGAGGGGAAAAAAACAAGAGAGAAGAAGAAGGATGGCAATAGCAGCTCCTGGGCAGCTGAATTTAAACGAATCACCATCATGGGGATCTAGAAGTGTTGATTGTTTTGAAAAATTAGAACAAATTGGTGAAGGCACTTATGGGTCAGTCAGTCAGTCTTCACTGATTTCTCTGTCTCTGTGTTTTTTAAGCTTTCCTGTTGATTTTTTAGCTTTTTTATGATTAATTATGGGTTTTTTCCCTTACTAATTTCTGTCAAGGAAAGATCAAAACTTGCTTACAATTGGGTTTTTATTTATTGTATGTAGGCAAGTGTATATGGCAAGAGAAATAAAGACAGGTGAAATTGTTGCTTTGAAGAAAATAAGAATGGACAATGAGAGAGAAGGGGTAACTTTCTGTTTTTTTTTTTTTGGTTTCACACTCTTTTTTATGTTACTTTGTTTTTGTTTTAAAAGTGTTTGGTTGCTAAAATAAAGGTTGTGTTCTTTTGTAGTTTCCTATAACAGCAATAAGGGAGATCAAGATTTTAAAGAAATTACATCATGAGAATGTGATTAACTTGAAAGAGATTGTGACTTCTCCAGGTTGAAAGTTGAAATATTCTTATTCAATTGTGCTTGCCATGTTTTCGTATTTATAGAAATAATATAGGTGTTTTTACGTGTTTGATAACTGAAATGCTCGTGATTGTTTTTTTCAGGTCCAGAGAGGGATGAGCAGGGGAGACCAGGCAAGTTCTCTACTTTGCTTCTGTAAATTAAGCCTTTCAAATTTTTGAATTGATCTCTGTTTAAGATATCCACGCTGATGCTTGCATGCCCGCGTGCTTGTTTTGATTGTATTTGGTTATAAAAGGGATTGTTTTAATGGTTGTCATATTTGGAGGTAATTGATTTATGACCACAGTGTTATGTGCGATTGCAGATGGTAACAAGTATAAAGGTGGGATCTACATGGTTTTTGAATACATGGATCATGATTTGACTGGTCTCGCTGATCGTCCTGGGATGAGGTTTTCAGTTCCCCAAATTAAGGTATTGTTAGAAGTAGAAATGAAGGAATCTCTTTATTTCTAATCACTGAGCATATGATACTTGACATTGTTCCCACGGCTCCTGGTTTATCCTCTTCTACACGGTTCTCACTTCTTTTTCTTGAAGTGCTACATGAGGCAACTTTTGACGGGGCTTCACTATTGTCATGTAAATCAAGTGCTTCATCGTGATATAAAAGGTTATTAAGAAATAAAGTATTTTACTATTAGATCCTGTTTTCCATCTCATGGAGCATTGGTCAGCTAAACTGCATCATTGCTGCAGGTTCTAATCTGCTCATAGACAATGAGGGTAATTTGAAGCTGGCTGATTTTGGGCTTGCTCGGTCATTCTCAAATGATCACAATGCAAATCTTACAAATCGCGTTATTACATTATGGTACAGGTGATAATTGTAGCCCCTTAAATGGAGAGCTTTGGTTTTAAGACATACTTCATTTTTACTCTAAGACCATGAACTTTGGCTTTCCACCTAACAAGGGGAGAATGATAAAAGATAATTTGAATGAGAACCAGTTATTTTCATCTTGCGCAGACCCCCAGAGTTGCTGCTTGGGACAACAAAGTATGGTCCAGCTGTTGATATGTGGTCTGTTGGTTGTATTTTTGCTGAACTTCTCCATGGGAAACCAATTTTCCCTGGAAAAGATGAAGTAAGTAACCTTGCCACCATTAATTGTTTTTTTCCCTCTATTTTTGAAGGACTTCCTATCCTCCATGTGTTGTATATATGTAGCTTCTTCCTTTTAATAGCTATTGGAAAGCAGAAGAGGGGGGTATACTGGCCATAGTTTCTGTGGACTTAACAGGTTAATCATATGATTATATGCTGACCTATTGCAATATGGACAGGCTCACAACTTTCTGGAGCCACCTTTGGTTTGAATTCTTAAAATGTCTGTCCTTGAGATCAAAGTCATTCAAGAGTTTCCTACCATCATTTACTTGGATTTCCATAACTTATTGGGTTTTCTTGAAAGAATAGAAATTAAGTTTGCTTTGGCAGTTCTCTAATTTGGAACTTCTTCCCATCAAGATGATGAATAATCTAATGAAAGGAATGGGCTTCTGGTTGCTATTTAGTTGATCATCGTATCAAAAAATTTGCTTGCTTGAAACCAATTTCATGAGTATTTCTGTTATTGCTGCAGCCTGAACAACTAAATAAGATTTTTGAGCTATGTGGAGCCCCTGATGAGTTTAATTGGCCTGGAGTTTCCAAGATTCCTTGGTACAACAATCTCAAGCCAACAAGGCCAATGAAGAGGCGTCTAAGAGAGGTTTTCAGACAGTAAGCACGAACTTGTATTTGTAGATGCTACAATGTTTTCTCATTATGACATAAATTTGGGCTTTGATAACTACTGTCCCCTAACCTTTTCTCTGTTTTTTTGGTGTTGTGTTTTTCTGTTATAGTTTTGACCGTAATGCTTTGGAGTTATTGGAGAGAATGCTGACTCTTGATCCCTCTGAGGTATCCTCTTATTGGATATGCTCTCTTCCGTTTATGTTTTTTGTTTACTTGTCATAACTTGAGTCTGATTATGTCAATTTTTCTTGTGAACTAATTGGTTTGATAATGTGAAAATCAGTTTGGAGTGTATTTCTTCTTAGAAGTTACACCATGAGCAGTGTGCAATAGATTGAAAATCCCCAGTGTTAGTGCAGAAGCATAATTTACTTTTTTAAACCTTTTTCCAAAATAGCCTGTTGGATCAAGTTAAGCAAACATTTTTTTTTGAGATCTTGGCTTCACCCAACTAGGAAACACATGTAGAATACTGAGCAGATAAAAACTGTGAGATTCCCTGAGTATCATCAACTGGCCCCAAACCTTTTTATCTCTGCCAAGAGATTGTTGTGATGTCATACTCTGACCTCGTGAGTTTACCCCTTAAAACCAGAAGTAAGGTACACATTTGGTAGAACACATCAATTTAGTTTTTTGAATTAGTTAAGCTGAATTTAGTTTCTTGGACTTGTATTTCATGTATTCAACTTGCTGCACTTGCATCGTATGTCTTTATTAAGTGTTGTTTTGCAACTTATTAACTGTCCCCTTAGGACACCCAGGGAGTTAGAACTTGAAACCTTCAACCTAGAGTAATCAGGCACAGTTCTTAATTAACTTGCTGGTGGGTTTCTCAATGAATACCATAATTAACTTCTTAATACCGGGAGAAGAATTTGCTACACCCCAATAGCTCACACATCCTACTTGGAGGGACCCTTCTTGGACCCAACAAGAAGCCAACAATTATTAACTTGAAATTCTTAACATCCATGTCCTTGAACCTCAAAAAAACCTAATCATAATTTGGTCTAACTAGCCCCTAGAATCTTCTGTTATTGTTTAAAATCAATTGCCCATTTGCAGTGTATAGAATTTTTTTCTTGATCCATAACTGCCCCGTATTGTTTATACTTGCTTTTTATGCTTGTTATGACAGAGAATATCTGCCAAGGATGCACTTGATGCTGAGTATTTCTGGACCGATCCATTACCTTGCAACCCCAAGAGGTTTGCTCATACTTCTGTAACCTTTAGATCTAATTCCTTGAGATCTCTATTTCTTGTTTTATATATCCTTGACAAGTTTTCATTTGGTGATTCAGTTTGCCGAAATATGAAGCATCACATGAGTTTCAGACTAAGAAAAAACGTCAGCAACAAAGGCAGCATGAAGAAAATGCTAAGCGTCAGAAACTGCAGCACCAGCAGCAGCATGGCCGGCTCCCCCCCGGTCAACAGTCTGGGCAGGCACATCCACAAATGCGATCAGGCCCTAATCAGCCCTTGCATGGCTCTCAGCCCCCGGTTGCTGCAGGGCCTAGCCACCATTATGGGAAGCCTCGAGGACCTGCTGGCGGACCAGGCAGATACCCCCCAAGCGGAACAAGTGGGGGATACAACCACCCTAATCGTGGTGGTCAAGGTAGCAGTGGTTATGGTAGTGGGCCATATCCTCCACAGGGGCGAGCTCCACCATATGGCTCAAGTAGCATGCCTGGTGCACCTCCACATGCAAGTGGAGGGGGTAGTGGCTATGGAGTTGGTGGTCCAAATTATCCTCAAGGCGGTCCACCTTATGGTGGTTCTGGTGCTGGTCGTGGTTCAAACATGATGGGTGGAAACCGCAACCAACAATATGGTTGGCAGCAGTAAACAGTTTGAGTAATTGATGTACCATGAGACCTCATGAAACAAAACTTTAAATGTGAAAAAGATTATCCGAGTGGTTGATGACTGGACAACATCTTCTATGCTTCAGAGCTCAACAGAATGGATCACTGGAAGAGCCTCCCATTGAGCATTTGTACAACCCAGAGTTCTCCGAGTGTTTCACCATACTTCAATAAATTAGAGACATCTGAGTTGAAGGTGCTTTAATTTAATGAACCGTGTATCTTCATTAAAGAAAGAAAAATAAAGTACTCTGAGCCATTTCTGTGATTTGCGCTCAGGTTTGTGCGCAGCGGACATGTACATTTGTGAGTCAAACTATTGCAATGTTGAATAAGAGAGTGTGGATGTTTGTCTAACAGCATGTATTGATGTTTTTTGTTGTTTGTAATTGTCTGACTGCAAAAATAACTCAAGGATAGATAAATCTATGGCTTTCAGAGTTTCAAACCAACCCTTGTCCAATACAGTGGCGAAGAACCAACATAATGAGGATTATTTCAAGCATATACAACATCGAGGGTCTTGTCCAATACAGTGGTGAAGAACCAAAATAATGAGGATTATTTCAAGCATATACAACATCGAGGGTCTTGTCCAATACAGTGGTGAAGAACCAAAATAATGAGGATTATTTTAAGCATATATAACATCGAGGGCTGGATACCAGCCACACAAGTACAACTCTGTTTACAAATCTTGATCCGGAAAGGGGTATTTACAAAATCCCCTGGGATGTATTTGAAGCATCTCCTGTACGAAATAAGGGCCAATAGACGATCTATGGATCTTTCAATGATGAAAAAAAATGTGATAATTCACTAAATTCTGGAGATATATTATGGTTGAAGACAGGTCTTGGAATCCCATGCTCGTACTTATTCTCCAATCATGCAAGAAAAGTTTCTGGTTTCATTAGTAGAAATCAAAGAACATGGTCCTCTTGGCTATCAAGCCTCATCCTCATCCTCATCTCTATGTGCTCTAGCTTTCTTGATAGATTCCATGGCATCCTCAAATGATTTCTGCATGCAAATTCAAACAGTTTTTGATATATTTCAACAGCTATACATATTTGGATATATACAAAAGGTCTCATTGCTTCTTTGGCTCTTTTATCAACTATATATGTAACAGATTCTTTTCTCTGTTTCAATAGAGAACAGACCACAGAAATACATCACATGCGAAAACTTTGCTGTCTCACACAAAACATGAAAATTGGTATGCTTCCAGTCTTTCTGTCATACTACAACAAAGCCAATCTCACTTAAGACATGCATATTGAGAACAGCATTTTGACGCTTTGATGCACTAGGCCCCTGCCCGAGTAAGGTTTCCAAACTCCAGTTACATATGATTTGCTATAGGAGCATGACAAATTACATTATTTTGGAAGCATTGGTTCAAATCAACAGGTAGACTGTTTATAACTACGGCCATTTAATTCCACATTTTGATGGGAAACCGTTGTCATAACCGCTAGATAAATCATATCAACAGCCTGTTAAAAGCAGTTAGTACAAGGAATACCTTGTCATAAAGTAAAACCGAAGCTACTATATGCAAGGCAATGGAGAAAGTAACAAGAAATCGATGGGATCAGCCTTGAATTCTCTAGATGATCAATCAATAACAGCAACTGAAAACACACTAATATCATTAACACCATAACAAGAAGCAATAGCATACCCCTGAATTGTGCATATTCCACAGTGCTTCCTTTCCCATATCCACCACCACGGACCCACCAAGTAAGGCACTGCAGAAAAGATTAAAAAAAAAATACCACCTTAATCTCTACATAAAAATGCAGAAACAGACCGATCAAACAAGTACAAGTACAAGATGTAAAACCCTAGCATGCCCTAAACTCAAACTTTCGAGTCCAGATTTTACTTCCAACCCAGTTCGATAAGCATCACTGCTAATCAAAAGATCCCAACTTTGAACCAAAAAAATAATAACAAGCACATAAAATAAAAAAAAACAACGAAAAAAAACTAAAAAAAAAAAATCACTCCTGAAATACAGAAACAACATCAAAACAAACATACCAGCCAAAAGCTGCATTGAGAAGAAACGCACGACTGGTCATGAACTTGATCAAATTCTCCAATTTTGAGCTCCACCCAGACTTTGTATACCTATAAAACCTCGAATCATAATCATTATTATCATAATTATGATAATATCCATAGCCCCCACGATTATAATAATTTTTATTACTATAATAATTCCTTCCCGTGTGATTATTAGAAGAAGAATAAGAGGACCGAAAGTTGTAATCAGCACGTTTTTTATCGTTTCTAAGAATTTCGTAAGCTTCAGAGACTTGTTTGAATTTGAGGGTGGCTTTCTCTCTTACAGGATTTGATGATCGTGCGTGTTTGTCTGGGTGGAGTTCTAACGCTAATCTTCGATATGCTTCTTTTATTTCTTCTTTTGTTGCGGTTCTGTTTATACCCAAGACCTTGTAGTAATCCATGCTTGAATTTGTTTCTGGATTTCTTTGAGGTTATTGGTTTTTTTGAGAATTAAAGAAGAGGAGAGAGAGATTGTCCCAGACAGCCGTGGCATTTTTGTGTCCTCTTCTTCGGCAAGATCTTCTGTTCTTGTGGAGTTAATTTCTGTTTTTGACGTAGCTGCAATTTGATCCTTATAGTCTTGTAAATTACAGGTTGATCCCTTAATGATTATTCTACTTCTTAAAAACTAGAATAAATCAACTAAATTTTATTAAATTAATATTTATATTAGTTAAAAGATAAAAAATCTATCTATATTCAACTTTAAGCCATGTTTGTATTTACATTTTAAAAATATTTTTCAAAAAATTTAAAATTTTTGTATTTTTTTCTTTATTTCAAATTAATATATTTTTAGTATTTTTAGATCATTTTGATATATTGATATAAAAAATAATTTTTTAAAAATAAAAAAATATTATTTTAATATATTTTCAAGTAAACAATACTAAAAAAACAATTATAATTACACTTTAAAATAAACCTTAGATCCAAAACCTAATCAATTCATTAAATTATGCAGAGTTCAATATAAACCTTAGATCCAAAACTTCTTGAATCAATTCATTAAATTATGCAGAGTTCAATAATTATAATCAAGAGTTATATAAAATTAGGACTCCAACCGAGTTTGATTGATTTAATATTTTTATAGTTTAGATTGAAACCTAACTTAGATAAAACTTCAAATTATGAATTTTTAGGTTTATCCGCTATGCTTAAACATGTTTCATCCCACCCAATAAATAAATAAATATTCAAATAAAAATAAATGAATAAATCAAGAAAGTAACATTTATTTAACTAATTAAGTTAAATTGATATGATATAAGGGGATTCTAATTTTAAAAATAAAACCAGTTTATAATCATAAAAGAATATTTTTCATCTACATTGAATTAAGAAGATATACTCAATCTCTATATACAAAAGCACTTACTAATAAAAATAATAACAAAAAATCAAACAAAACACAAAATTAATTGTTTTATATTTGATTTTAAATTATTAATTAAAAAATCTCTTGATAGTTTTAGTCATTTTTCTATCTATTGTTATAAACTCAACACCTAACTCGCCCGAGACTTCATCTAAAATAAAATAAAAAGTTAAAATATTAACTTGATGATTTAATCTAGTAAAATACCTAGTTAAAACCCATTTAATCTAGTAAAATATCTAGTTAAAACCCCATCCTTAATCTTGTAACTTTTTATTTTTTTTAAATCGAATTGATCTTGTCTTGATATTATTTACAAAAAAAAAGGGAAAATAAAAGAAAAGAAAAGAAAAGAAAGGAAATCAACCTGGATAGACCTTCGGTCAATCCCATATCACTTTTTTATAAATATGTTTGTAAAAGCTCAAATACCTCACATTTAAGAGTGATTTATTTAGAGCAAGGTGATTAAGACACTTTACATAATACTACAATATGCATGGACATTGTCATCACTGAAAAGATGGACTGTTTCATCAGGGACGGTGCAGTAAGCTTGGTCTGGGAAGTATCCATGAACACTTTCATTGAACCCATGTCTGTAATAGTTATACGATGTCGTGTACGTAGTTTCATCCAAGTATTGGGATGCATATGGATAGTATTCACTGTCATATGGAAATGGCCAGAACTCTGCTCTTCTTCCTGTTCTTCTCACTACCTTCAGGACCTTTCTCTGGTCGACATACCCTTTCACAGTCACCTTTTGCGTATCCATGTCTATTTCCAAGCTATCAACACCTGCATGATGCAGAGTAAAAAAATGAAAAAAAAACAAGAAGAAGAAGAAGAACATTGGCAATTTATATTCCCTGTCAAGTACTCAATATACATGCTTTGCTGCAATTTTGATCATAACCAAATCGAACAAACTAGAGCATTGATATTAAAACCAACCGGGCTCGCTAGGTCGAACCAAAGATAGCCAAGCTAAGTTTTTCTAAAAAAACAAAGGAAATTGACTTGATCAAACCGAGTAAACTAAAAGTAAAGCTAAGTTATTGTCATTCTGGGAAGCCAAGCCAAGAGAGTTAAAAACTTAGTTCGGCTCCATGCTTCCTTATACTTAGTTGTGTAAGAAAGAAAAAAAAGAAGCACACAAAAACCGAATGAAACTAAGAAGCAAAACTGCAAAGATTAAACAAGATAAATTCTAAAAAAAGCTACAAACACTTGCCATCAATTTTCGAGATTGCTCTTCGTATTCTCTTTTCACATCCTTCACAATCCATATGTACCAAGAGCTCCACAATCTATCAAACGAGTGGAAATGCAAGCATGGATACCATAAATGAGAGCAATAGCAGAGAAAATCTTGATGAGACTGGAGCACTTACAGACAAGGCGTTGGATAATTTTGACCTCCCAAATCGCCATTGAAACATGATGGGCGTGCGTTTGAAGCTCTACAGAAGAAGCTAAGAATGTTTCTCCTTCTCTACATATGTTAGCATTTATCACTTCTCTTCTCCTGGGAAGCCACTTGGTTTTGTGTAGGCAGATGGCATTCTTCAACCGTAGATGGCTTGTGTCGTGATCACAAGTGGGCAGATAATTTCTTTTTATTTGAGTTATTTCTCTCAAAGTTTTGAGCCTTTTACTGCTTTAAAGAATAAGTACTCGTACGGGATTGCAGATAGCATTAGATTTGTGTCAGGCATAGATCAAATTCATTGGCTGTCAATAACCATGTATGGGTGGAGAGAATTTCATTGCTTCATGGCTGCAATTCTAATCATAATTCTGGAAATTAACTTGAAAAATGATGTAGTTAATCGAGTTATTACATCAATCCATGTATTTTTATTTTTTAAAAATTCTTCAAAGCTGACCCGACTTGGATTAGTTGAGTCAACTAAATCATTAAAAATTTATTTACATCAATTGAGTTTTATCAAATTCAACTTAAAAATCAGTTTAAGTATCGGGTTTTCGATCAACTTTTCGGACCGAACAGGAAGATACAATGCCAAAACAAAAAAGAAAGTTAAGAGGATCTAACTTAAGACACTAATCGTTACTTTCTTCTCACAACGACAACTATTTGAAGAACAAGATGTCTGATGATAATTTTTTCATTTTTTTTTCCTGGTGCAGAGCCAGAATCAGCCTAATTTGCCAAAGATCTGGTGCATTTCCAACCTACCAATTTCAATCTCTTTTGAGTACGAAATTCCTATCCCATTGAGAGATCTAATTGAACTGAATTTATTTGTGTTTGGAGGTGAAGAATACTGAAATGGGCCAATGTGTTGAAATTGCTGTCCATCAGAATATGTTCTCTGCCTGATTCTTCTTTCCAGCAAAAATCCTTGCTTTACCACACAACTACACAACAGAGAATTGGAAAATATATGCAATCGTAGCAAACTCCCTAGACTTGCTTTAAGTTTTCCCACAGGGAGCTTACCCATCATTTCCATGTTTCTATAACAAATGGAGAAAAGCAAGCATATATTAATAATTATATATGCCCAACTGCACGCATCGATCAGGTTGTATTATTAAAAAAAAAGGAGATAATTATTAAGAAAATTCAAGTTAACGGATATTCTTAGATAATGTTTTTTTTTTTTTTTACGTATATATTATGTTTTGAAAACAAGAAAATTCGTTTCGAAGACATTTATTTTATATCTCATTTATATTTATTCGAACAAATATATATTTTGTATATATTTATTCTGTCACATCACACCAACCAAATTCAATCTTAATAAATAGATATAACATAATTTTTTAAATTATTAATCACCATTTACCATAAAAAACTGCAATATTAGCGAACGCAATAAAGACACTTGCTAGCTTTTTTAGCTTGTTTGTTTGCATAGTTATGTTGTATTTTTTAAATTTTTAGATTTTTTTAGTTTTATTATTAATATTTTTTATTATTTTGATGTGTTGTTATTAAAAATAAAAAAAATATTATTTTAATATATTTTTAAATAAAAACATTTTAAAAAGTAAGCTTTGCCACAATTCTTGTCAAGCTAAAAGGGTGTTTGATATTATAATAATTTTTGTTTTTTTGTTTTGTTTCCAATTACAATGAAAAAACTACTTAGTCAGTCAAATAACTTTTATTTTTTTGCACCGAGCCCCTAAATAATTCTATTTTAAACCTTGTTTTTATAGAAACTAAAATATTTAACTTTTTATTGATGAACACTTGTATTTTCATTTATTTTACATATAAAAAATTCATTTCACAATATTTTTTATCTAAACATATATTTTTAAAAATCTATTTAAAAAAAAAACAACAACTAAAAACAATTTTTTTAAATCTATTTTTTTTAATCCACAAAAATACACTCAAGACCCGAGTTAGCTTTGTATGATTTTGACATTTGTCTGCTTACACATGTTTTGGTGATGGACCAGGCAAGTTGTAGCGGTGCAATTTCAAGAAGAGAATAACAGCAAAGTGAAGCATTTTGCCACTCTATCTTGACGAGATACAAATTGCTGGGGCAGGCATTTCGCAGCCTCATAGGAATATGGTGCGCTTACACCCATCTCTCCAAGCATATATGCTTTTATGTTACGTAGCTTTCATCTCAGAAAGAATTCTTGCCTCATGTGTATCCTAAATTCGGTAAAAATAAGAATAATAATCCATTTTTATTTTAAAATTCTCATAATTAATCTCATTTCATAACTTCATTTGATAATTTCTGGGATCACAAGGACTCAATTGATTAAAATAGAAGTAGATAGATTGAATTGATTAAACAGATCTCCTAGGCACGGAAACGACTTATAACGTTGATTTAATTCTTTAATATCTTGAATTACTGGGTATTTTCTCCTCTCTTCACAACATGTGCCGAGTTTAAATATATAATTTGGAATTTTTTGTTTTTCTCTTATTATATTTTATGATATATTCATATAAATAAATTATTTTATCTTGTCTGATAAAATATAATAATTTTATATTAAAGACAATTTTATTCATATTTGATAGAGATATTTTAGTTTTTTAAAGGAATTTTAAGTAACTGAATGTATTTTTTTAAAAGAAAAATAAGATTTTCTTTACAGACAAAATTAACACGGGCGAAATTGATATTAATCTATTAATTTGAAGGTCCATCTTGGGCCCAATCCACTAGACTTCTGCCCCTCTCATATAACGGGCCTAAGCCTTACAGCTTATCAGTCCTAGGCTCAATAAGAATCAAGCCCATAGTGACCCTTCATCAACAAAAAGCAAAGAAACAAAACGTTTCTTCTCTCTCCTCGACATTCTCAACGAGGAAAAAACACACAGGCAGGGAGTCGTTTAACTCTGCAACAAGAGCTCAATAAGGTCTGTATATTTGATAATTTCATATTTCTTTGCTTTTCTGTGATCTGATTTGATATCCTTATTGTTGGTGTTTCTGGAAGGCTAGGGCTTGGGAGGTAGAAGAGAGACTTGATTGGGAGACAAGGAGATTACTATGTTCTATGAAAGATGAAGGGTGAAAGCAGTTATGTGCCGCCGCGCTATATTCCGTTGGACCAATTGGATTTGGAAACGGAGAGTGTTCCACGAAATGAAGAGCGTTCTGGAGCTGCTAGTGTTGTAGGTGATGGACCGGCGCAATGGTCGTCTGGGATCTGTGCTTGTTGCGATGATATGCAGAGCTGTACGCTTACTTTTACTGCTTTGTGACCTTGATTTATCATCAGAAGGAAAATTAATTTGAAGGTGCCTAATGAGTTGAATGAATAAAAATGTTGGGTTTTGTACTGTTTATCTTTAGTTTCCGGCATTGTTGTGGCTTCAAGAAAGGAATGATTTGATTCTTTAAGTAAAGGTTTTGGATTGCGCAGTTTTAGGAAGGGGATTTGTTTTCTGGATTGTGCGGAACTGGAATTTAAACTTGACTAAGGCCACGTCTGGGAACGAGGCGCAGCTGCGGTCGCACCCCCGTTCCCAAACGGGGCCTAAAGTAGCTAAAATGCCTTTTTCTGACTAATCATAGAGTCCCAATGAGTTAGCTTATTTGAAAAACACCTTGTTCTCTGGGTAGAGGTTTCCTAACTAGCAATCAGGAATATCAGGAAATTTTTTTATCTGTATGATTCTTTCCATTTAGTTTTATGTTATTGCTAGTATATTACTTATAGGCAGACTGCCTCTTGAATGAACTATCGCATACAATTCTTATATGTAAATGTGTTAAACATACCATGAAACCTTCAACCAGTGATCTTTTTTAAGCTGCACTGGTGTTTGAGCATATCATTAAGCCTTCAACTAGTGATCTTTTTTAAGCTGCACTGGTGTTTGACAAATGTATCTATTAGTCACAAACCTGCGGAATGGATGGTAGTTGGTATTGGTCGTTGATGTGATGTATGAATTGAATAATTACAGCATCTAAAAAGTGGTAATTCATTTCTTTGTTGTTCCTCTTTGTTTGCGGTTGCTTCTAACAAGAATCTAGGATGTTGCATATTTGGGTAAGAAGATCATTTTTTGTGTACTAGGGCATGGTTGTGATCATGAAATCTAGCTTGAGAAAAACTGCTGGGGAGTGGGTAGCAGTGTTATTAAGATATGGATGTATTCAGTATTAGACATTTCACTCATGGTGGGTTTGTTGTTGATGTGGATGTATTCAGTAGACATTTCACTCATGGTGGGTTTGTTGTATATAAAATGCATGACTGATAAGATCTAGACTTTGGGTGATCAATATCCTACCTTTATGAAACACTTGCATGCACATGCCTGTAGATTTGCATGGAATGTATCGAAAGTCCTTTTTTTGGGAACTTATTGAACAACATGAATCTATTGTTGCCTAAAAAGAAAATTGTTAATACAGTGCTTTTTTTGGTGTGTACAGGTTGTATTGGTCTTTTTTGTCCTTGCTATTTGTTTGGTAAGAATGCAGAATTTTTGGGTTCTGGGACTTTGATAGGATCGTGTGCAACCCATTTTATTTTGTGGGCTCTTGTCAACACTGTCTGCTGCTGTTTGACTGATGGCATTTTGTTGGGGTTACCTGGATGCTTTGTTGCATGCTATGCTTGTGGTTACCGCAGGGTGCTTAGGGAAAAGTATAATTTGCAGGTATTGCTAGTTCAAAATTGTAATTTTATCAATAAAATCTTCTATCTATTTTCCTTAATGCTGTGGAGGTTGTTTGTGGATGCTAGATAAATACACCTGCAAATGTTCCTTTGATCCATAGGCTTGAGTAGTTAGTGTAGGACATTGATGTTGATGTTAGGTTTCTTTGGGTGGTTATAGATTTTATACCTTTGGTAGCATAAGACATGGGATTAAGGATATTTTTGATGGATTTCCTCCACGTAGGAGTTTAACAAATAGTTGAAACAAAGATTGCTGGGAGCTTAGAGCACATAGATAAATCAAGGCGTTGAATTTTCAAAGCTGCTTTGCTTTAGGTTCTCTTTCATACATGATAGACTACACGAGATATTTGGAGCTGCTTGTTTAGGCTTAAAGTTCCTTGTAGAAAAAGAAAAGGCTGTTCCTAAATGAAGCTAATTGTGTAATTTTTGTTGATTTCTTATGCAGGAAGCGCCATGTGGTGATTTGGTGACACACTTTTTCTGCCATCTGTGTGCTAGCTGCCAAGAATACAGGGAGATCCGTGAAAGGTCTGGTGACTCCAATTCCCCTGATCTTAAACTGGCGGTGGTCACAGCTCCACCAGTCCAGACAATGGAATCAGGTAATACAGAGTAGTGCTTCTACCATAACACTCCTGGCAAGACCACCACATATTGTTTCACACTTGACCTCCCACCATCCTATGCCAGATTAAGCAGTCGACATGCATTGCTTTTTGAAGCATGTCTTCTTAAGTTTGTATCCGTGAGACTAATGGAGATCTTTTATACGATCATTGTAAACTACTTGTCTTTTTACTAACAAGCACCAATTATCATCACACAAGAGTAGACTAAGGTAAAAGTAAAAGAAATACTGCTAATGCATTTCGCCATCATAGTCTGCCACCACTCTCACTCAATGCTCATTGTTGGTGTAGATTTTGATTTCTGAACTTATTTTTTTCATTAAATTTTTGGTTGGTTTTTACGGATATTCTGGATAATTCGGTTATTTCGCTCATTCCTACATGATAGGGAGAACTGAGAAGAAAAGGACCTTTCCCGTCACCATACCTATATCATTTCCACCTGGCCAACATCTGTGCTTCAAACCCTTTCTCTTGCAACCTCAAATCAAGCAACATAAAAAAGAAAGAAAAAAGATCTTGAAAATATTGAAAATATTTATCTGTTTCTTGTTCAAATCAACACAGATATTCAAAACTAAACTTGATTTAGAATCTGTTGAGGCATTGGCTGCCACTCCCAAAACAACATCATACAGGAAATAATGAGCATTAAAGCGTTTTGGATTCAAGCCAATCTGTTATTTCATGATGTTTCTTCCTCACATCAATTAATGGTTTTTGGTTTGTGATGTTTCTTCTTCTTTTGGGTGCACCATATATGTCTGTAAATGCTTCCAAGGGTGGGCAATGGTGTATTATTTTCGGCGCAATTGACCAAATGCGGGACCGCTCATGTTAAAGGCATTCTCAATGCCTTTGCCGGCATGGGAGAAAGCTGCAGATGGCACCAGCAACTTGCATTTTCCGATAAGCTGTGGCTATCGTCTTCAGAAGACAAAATACCCTTTAAAAATTTTGATTCTCTCTTCGAGTTCCCAGGTTTAAATGATGGGATAAGAACCTGGGAATTCAAGAAAGGACTAGCTCTTGACTCAAAAATCATAGCTATAAGATGGATTTGGGATGAGATTAAAAAAAAAAAAATCTAAGTTACTAGATCAGCGGTCAGCTTATAGATTATCGGATCAATTGTTTTTATTAATATTGTTCTAATTATTTTTTCAGTGATAACCAGTTAGATCAACAAAGTTTCACTGGATTAATGTTTGTTTCACCGAATTAATGTTTTATTTGATTTAACTAAAATCTACGTTAATAACCATGGTCAAAATTAATTGTTTTTCTTTAAAAAACCGACCGTTACAAATATAAATAAAATAAAATAAATAACAATAAACCATAACAACATCCATTTCTACAAGCTAAAATTCTCATATGCAACATCTCCTCGTTAAGAATTTCTAATTTTTATTTAGTGTTGGGAAATTCAAGAATTAATAAAACTATTTCTTTTATTCTTTTATGTTGGGTTAATTAATAACATTAATTTTTAGTATATGACTTATAACAAGGTCGGTGTATAAGTTACGAATTGATTAATTTGGATAAATATTTTTTTATATAAAAATTAAAATAATATCATTTTATTTTTTTTGGTAAAATTAACTGGTTTTTAACTGTATCTATGAAGTCAATTATGCTAAAGAAAATCAATTCCAAATTAAAAGTTTTACACCCAACCCATGCTAAAGGATGGATTAATAACTGGGTTTAATATCCGAATTAATTTTAATATAATAAATTAAAAGGAACATACAAGCAGTAACAAGTTAAGCAACCACGTGTCAAACAATAATAGCCAAAGGAATTCTAAAAAACCTTTTGCTTTTGATCTCTCCAGGAGCATCCCATGCAAAACACCACACGTCAACAGTCTTATGCTGCTGCTCCCTCCTCTCTCACCCTTATATATCAACTGCCAAAGATTTTGTTAAAATAAAAATAAAAGATATTTCCCATCCACCCCATCAATCGCCTACACTGTCATCAGTCAAAAGACAGTGAACAAAATCCTATCAAAATCTCCATTTCTCCAACCTCTTTCTGTTTTGGCCGTAGCCGTAGCCGTACTCTTAACTGTATGTTAATCTTCTCATGTGCATATTGTTTTTCCTCTTAACTGTACGTTAATCTTCTCATGTGCATATTGTTTTTCTTGATCTGTTTTGGCCATAGCCATAGTCGCACCTGTAACCGTAGGATCAGTTCTTACAGATGTTTCTAAAGTTTACTATGTAAAAAAAACAGTCCATCCATGTAGGGAGTAAGGATTCATAGTTATGTTTCTGTCTTGGTTATACATGTTTGTTTTCTATACATGGAAATTATTTCGTATTTACAATGATTGATTGAATGCTTTCTGTGTTTAGCATTGGGTAATGCAAAATATTAATCATTTTGGACGTTTTCTTTTTTAATAACATAACGATTAGGTTACCTTTTCATGTTACGTTCAGCTTGATTTTCCTGATATGATCTTTTCCTTTTTTGTTCATGCATCCGTTTTCCTAGTTTAATGGCTGTGCCATTGGTATTGGAAAGTTTGGAACTAGTCTGTAATGGTTTCCCAGCTGTTTCTTTCTTGTTCTTATTATAGTGTTATTTGATTTGAGTATGCCCTTTATCAGAAATAAGCATTTTGATTAATAAATGACATTTTGTTTCCTTTGTCAAATAAATTATTATAAAAAGATTATGATACTAATGTGATTTCTTTCTATAAGCATATCATTCAAATCTCTATACAGACTGGATTCTAATCTTTCTCTCCGTTCGTCTCTCTTTCTCTTCGGTTTATTGCAGATTAAGGGTGAAAAATAATGGATTTTTTCAAAAGCACCATGCCCATTTGCCCTCAGCATTGTTCACGATGGGCTAGAGTTTACATGGAGTATTGTCTTTGCAATATGAAAGATGGGGTTTCATTAAGTTTAGGTATGATTAGTGTTTTGAGTTGGGGTGTTGCCGAGATACCTCAAATCGTTACAAACTATAAGGAGAAATCCACTGAAGGACTTTCCCTTGCTTTCTTGTTGACATGGATTATTGGGTGAGATATCTGTTGAAGTACTAGGTTCTTGCTTTATGTCTTTTGATAATATGTTTGCTTGTTATGTTAATTTGTAATGCATTTATTTTTAGGGATCTTTTCAATGTTTTTGGCTGCATGTTGGAACCGGCTACTGTAAGTGGTCTTTTTTTCCTTTTCTTTTACCTCTAATTCTACTGATTGCTTGTTTTGATTATCCACTTTACTTGTTGAAATTCTGAATAAACTTGTTATTATGTTATATAATCCCATGAAATTGTGATGTTTTGATTGATTACATATGCATTTTCTCGTTTAAATTTCTAGGATAAATTTATTTAAGTATTTAGTTATTGTCTTGAGATAAAAATAAAAATAAAAACATTAGAGACAAAAGGAAGACCTCCTGACAAAAATTCACTTCAAAACTGTACTCTTAATGTGTCCATGCCTCTCTAACTAAACATGTTTTCACCCTTCTGTCTTTAGATACTAACCAAATGCAACCTAAGATCACGTGTTTCAAGTCAATGATTACATCATCCCTGTCACCTTGGATTTCAATGATGTTTTAACTGTAGTTTTATGCTTGATTCTGCAGCTTCCAACACAATACTACATGGCAGTGGTAAGAATTCTTATAAAGATTACAAGTTCTCAAATATGGTCTTGCTATTAATTTTGTTGGTCTCCTGTCATTGAATAATTCATTTACAATGCTTTGTTATTTTTCAGTTGTATACAATGACCAGCACACTTCTTACTGCACAAACTGTTTACTATGGTCACATCTATCATCGACTGAAAAGCAATAGACGACGCCCCAAGGTAAGGATCTTTTTTCTTCTTATAATTTAACAGCAATTTTTAAAATTTAAGTATGTATTTTATCTTAAGTGAAAGATCAAAGTTCTTGGAACGAGTCAGAAGGAGACAAACTGTCCTGTACGTGGATTCTGGAGGCAGAAAATTGTGTTAACTATTGTGAAGCGAAGCTTGGCCTTGAGCAAAAGCTGAGTTTTTTCATGTTTATGCGGGATTTTAATCTATAATTTATGATTTCTGGGATATGTTTCCATGAAGAAATGGTTTGAAACATGAATGTGACCATCCCGTGGGAACATTTTCCTTTCCAATGTGTCTGCATAAATTAGAAGTACTTTAATTTGTTTTTTCTTAAATATAAATGGAAATTTATGTCAATAGATTTGATGACAGCTATGCTGTTTATTGACTTCTTCAAGTAGGTAAAAAATCTATGCACTTCTATTTATAATGTGCTGTTCAGGTTCTAGATTAGTATTTGCGCATGTAATACGCTGTTAATGTTCTTCACTGTAATCCAGGGCCCTGTCTCCAGTCATTCTGAAGAGGCTGGAAGAATTAAACAAGGAAATAGTGATGCTAGTGCACAAGTCAACAGTGCTGATAAACAGAGAAATGAACCTGCAGCTCCTGATGGAACAAATGGTTTGAGTTCACCAATTCCTTTTCGAACACTTCCTCAAAAAAGTTCCCCTGAAAGAGATCTATACTACGCGTAAACTTCTCTTCTTGAATTTGTCGATATGCATTAGATTTGAATCACAACCTCAGCTTTTTTTTATGTGGTTGTACCAGTCTATGCCGGTGCTTGTTCGGTTCTTGTCAAGGATCTCTCTTGGATTTATATACTGAGTTCCAGGTGGAACATTCCACCATGAACCCATGGTTGCAGAAACTGTAACTGAATGCTGTAGCCCCATTTTGATCTGAAATGCAGTAGCCTTTTTTGGTTCCGTATTTGAAGTTGACAATACTTCTATGCAATTTTTTCTTGTGTGCAATCATGCTATTGAAATAGAACTTCATATACAATATGGTTGTGTCACAAATGTAATTGTCTTCTATCATTTTTCTTTCAGGTCAGCAAGATCTCTTTCAAGCAGCCATACTCCCACAGTAGGATCCTTTTTAGCACAAAGAACGACTCCTCCATCATTTTCGATTGGGAATTCAATTGAAGAGCCATTGCTTGGTGAAGATGTAGACACACAATCTGCACCGAATTTGAACACCAAAACCATGCTATGTGTGGTTAGGATATATACTAATCTTTTGCAGTCATGTTTTGTGAAGAACTCTACACTAAATATGACATTCTATTATAGTCACAGACAATTTTTTATTTCAGGTATCTGTTGTCACATTCCTTGGAACACTTAATCTTCACCATTCAGCAAACAGCAGGCTTGACAGGGTGTTTGAAAATAAAAATCAAGGAATTTTCATTCAAGTAGGAAGAAAGATTTTGCAGGTATCCCAAATTGAAGTTTAGTTTCATTCAAGAAATCCTAGGTAGCGTTAATATCTTGGGACAAAAGAGATGGAGACAATAGGGGACATGTCTCTATCTTTGTCTCTTCAACCAAACATGTTTCTGCCATTTCTATCTTTCGATACTAATTAGCCAAACGCAACTTCTAGTGAATTAAATTGTCGATCATTGTGGAAAAAATGGTGATTTCCTGTCTATCTTTTACATATTCCTCCGAAGTAAATTTCCCCTTTTTCCCTACTATTATTTAAGTTGGTCATCCAGCTTTCTGCTTCTTGTGCATTAGAGATGATTCAATTAAACGTAGGATAACTCATGAGATAGAGGATAGTACATACGCAAGATGGTAAAACATAATCCTGGAGTTAGTCACTGGCTTTCACATGCTGCTTAACTATAGACAACTTTTTCTAAAAAAATCCCTTCTAAATTTTCTTTTGATGTTTTCTTATGTTGTTTTTCTTAAAACGGATTTCAGACAAGTAGCATAATGTCACATGAAAATGATATTGATGGAAATGTAATCGGAACGTTCCTTGGTTGGTCGATGGCAGCTATTTACATGGGTGGACGGCTTCCACAAATCTGCCTAAATGTAAGATGATCTTCCTAATATACCAGTATTATCAGCATTCAGTAATGCATGCATGTGTTTTTCTATTCAATGCCAGAGGCTATCTTCATTTCAGAGACTGCACAGGAGATGGTAGCTATAACATGTTATATTTTCCCGTTTGGGAACGCGGGCGTGGCTGCCGTTGCAACCACGTTCACAAACCAAAGGCATCAATTTAGCAGAACTATGACGGAAATACTCATCCCCTCCACCTCTTTATTTTCCTTGAATATTTGCACAGTCTCTGGTGTATTGTTACTTCCTCTAGATCTAATTTTAACTAGCAATGCTTGTCTTCTAAATTTCTACAACTAAATTCAACTTTCATGGTTTATCAATTTTGCAGATCAAGAGGGGCAAGGTTGAGGTAAAGCATATTGACCTATAACTTCAGTGTGCTTTCATAAAAGCTGATATATGTTCCACAGCACAATTATGTAGTCACTATATCTTTAACAGTTTCTCCTACCCAAAATGTTGTGCTAAATTTCTTCTATGCTACTCAGGGGCTTAATCCATTAATGTTCGTCTTTGCTTTGGCTGGAAATATCACATATGTAGCAAGGTGCGTGCAATCCCCCCCCGCCCCACCACCATCTTTGATTTCATTCCCGTCTTTGCTTTTCTATTCTCTAATTTTGGGTCTGGTATTTATTACGTTTTCAATAGCATACTAGTCGATAGCTTGGCATGGTCAAAGATCAGAGCAAACCTACCATGGCTGGTGGACGCAGGAGGTTGTGTGCTGCTTGACACTTGTGTATCCTTGTTAACTCACAGTTAAAGTCTTAGGAAAGATTGTGAATTCCACTTGGCTTATGTGTTTCCATGCTTGATTGTCAACCTGGATAAGATGAGCCCTGTTGTCTTCCATTTTTTTGTCGAACCCTAATGTATTGACTAGATACTGCTTCAATTCATCTACTTTCGCTACCGGAGGCATCAAGTAGAGGAGGACAAGCTACAAAGCTCCAATGGAGCTTAGATAGTAATGAAACATGTTGACTAAGGCATCTCCTCTCCTGGATCTTCCATTGTTTGTCTATGCTAATATTGTTTATTCATTGCAGCTTTTTTTTTATTGGTTTAGGCACCGTAATGGATCCATGGCATCTCAACATTCATAGCCTCCCATCAAACTTGATCAGGCATAAGCCTTGCTGCAAATGGCCATCTTGCGGTGATAATAACTCTTCATTTGGATTTTGTTGGGTGAGCTAAGCGATAGAAGTTCTGATTGTTATTTACCGTTTGGACTTCCATGGCAGAAGACCACCTTGTATTTCTCCTCCAATCTGGTTCATTCCTTCGTTTTTTAGCTGTCAGAAAATGGATGGGAACTGACTCGATGAGCTCCAACTCATTTTCTTTCTTCCACCCCGTTTTTCATTCAATTATGAGTTACGTGAATCTGATCGTACTTATTAAACCTGGTCCGGTAGTTTAACCTACTGACCCTAAACTAGTTTAAATATAGACACGTCCACTTATGTCCTAGGCAACAGCAAGGCTGTCTTTACTACAAATCTGCATTCAAATTTCATGGAGTCTCCATTTCCCTACTTGCAAAAAGATTCTTATACAACATGGCTCGTCATCTTGCCCTTCCTTCCAATGCCTCTAGATCATCGCTTACGATGCTTACAAATGATCCATCAAGGCACTTGCCCTGATCAAATGTTTATTACCTCTATGGTTTGCTACATTTGATTGATCATTGATCCTTTCAAAATAATCAATGTTCCATCTAGAATCGTAAAGGGATTCTCGGACCCTTTAGTGTATCAAAACTAACTACTTTCCGTTCTGTCAAGTAAATCATTCACAACCAGACATGAGTATATTTATCTATTGAAAGTGAGGTTCTGGAGCATGTCTCAGAGGATAGAAGTTTGATGAGTTAAGGTTTTATTTATTACCTCTATGGTTCTGGAGCGTGTCTGCATCATTTTCGGTGATTTTTGTACCACTATTGATCATATATATATATAGTGAATGTTTTATGGCGACATGTAGAAATATTCGTGCAATATCTATATATTAGTGGATGAGGAGCGTGACTTAACATAAAATGGCTAAAAATCGTTGTAGTTTGAATTTTCCTGCACAATTCAATAGAATATTATTTACAAGTATAGAAATCATTGCCTGCATAGACTCACTTAAATTCGTAGGCTATAAGATGATCGTCTGCTGCATTAAGGGTTGGAAGCTTTACTTTTTGTGGCTCACCAGAATAAGAACTGATCTGAGGACGGAAAACTATGTAGGTGCCATCATTAGGGTTGTTTTGCAGCCTGTACAAATGTTGCCCAGCAGCATAGGCTCCAAGAAGTTGGTATGATCTCTCTGATTGATACATTGCCAAACATAGATCATCTCCACCTACAAAATCAACCTTTTCAATTATGCTGAAATCGTGAACTGAAGCAATCTTCTGTTCATCACACGTAAGTAATATATACTTACAAGCAGCTAGCTCAATCTGAGTGAGGTAAATAAAATCAAGGGCTGCAGAAATCTCCTGCTCAAACTGATGAAGAGGTCCACTCTCAAAATCCATCCTTTTCAGCTTACACAGTCCCTCTCCCAACTCCATCATTGCTCCTTTATGATTCTACACACGCCATTAATTTTAAAGCCACTACAAATCGATAAGCAAACAACAATAAAGAAACAAACAAACCTGGTTGAAGAGGTGATGGAATCCAACAGCACACTGAAGAATCCCATGGTAAAGAGTCCTAGAGGGCTCTTCTGCTTTAATCCACAAAGCTTCAAGAACATCATGGCACTTGTAGTATTCCCTCTTGTTGAAAAGGGCAGCTGCTTCTTCAAAGCTATAATTCTCTTCACCATCATCTTCCATGTTGTAATATCTATAAGATATGCGAAAGGAAGTGGAATATTTTCTAGTATTGTCTTGTTTAAATATCGAAGAGACTAGAGGATGCTGAGCTCTCTTAGATAAAGATGAAAAGTTGATTGATGATTTGCTGTGGATCGATGAAAGGACATAGGAACTAGGTAAAATGGATAATGATGATGAGATGGGGAGAAACTTGATAATTGTTGCCATTCTTGTTGAGATATTTTTGTGGTGTGGAAATGTCTTCCCAAGTTTTCTAGGCGGGATTGTTCTTGTGGTGGAGGCTTTATAATGGGAGGAGGAGGTGGAGGATAATAATAATAATAATACCAAAAACATGCCTTTGGAAGTTCTAGGAATAGATTTTTTTTAAAATTTTAACCTTAACTTCTATTAAAGGAATTTATTTTAGTGAATGTTTGATGTTGAAACCATAATTAGATTTGGTTTGGTGAAATAAGTATACTTGAGTTTGATGTATACTTAGACTAATTTTTAATTAAATAATAAAATTCAGATTTTTAATAATTTAATTGATTCAGTTATACTTAGTTTAATCTTAATCAAGTCAAGATTAATAATAATAATAATAATGAAACATTGTTGTTTTAATTAAAATTAATTTTGTTAATGAAATATTGTTGTTTTAATTAAAATTAATTTTGTTATTTACAAGTTAATCCAATAATTTAGTATTTATATATTTTTTTTGTGTTTATCTCAATTTGGGTTTGGACAAGTATTATTTTAAAAATTAAAAAAACTAATATTTTAAATTTAAAATATAATCATTTTATCCACTTCAATTTCTTAACCATATTCTATCAACTTTTATCAATCACTAATGTGTGCTTAAAAGAAAAGGATGAGATAGAAAACTAATGTGTGCTTAAAAGAAAAGGATGAGATAGAAAATTATAGAAACCAAGATTCTATTTATTTATTAGAAAGTAGTATATTTTAATAAAGTGAATTCTGGAAAAGTAAATTTTAGAAAAGTAAATTATTTTATAATATTTGGTAATGTAATGAAAAATAAGTGGGAAAATATTTTTCAGTATTTGATTATGTCATGGAAATTGAGATGGAAAATAATTTATCAATATTTTTTTTCCAAGTTTATTAAAATAATACTGGAAAATAATTTATCAATATTTATTTTTTCAAGTTTATTAAAATAATAAGGGACAAATCTTACAAATTAAAAAGTTAAATAATAATAAAATTAAAAAAATATAATTTCATAAACTATCTCAAATAAAATAAATAATAATCAAAATAATAGTGATCACATCTAACAAATAAAATAACTGAAAGATAAAAAAAATTAAAATGATAATAATAACCATTTCATAAATTATTTCAAATAAAATAAGTAACAATTAAAAAAATGAGGATTAGATTTAATAAATAAAAAATTTTAATTAAAAAGAGATTTAATAAATAAAAAAGTTTAATTAAAAAATAATAAGAAAAAAGTAAATAATAATTATAAAAATAAGGATCAAAGTTAACATAGAAATTAAATTCTAAAAAATTAAATTAAAAAAATATTTTTTAAAAATAAAACAATTAAAAGTTTGAGAATCAAATTTGAGAAAAAATATTTTTTAAAAAATAAAACAATTAAAAATTTGAGAATCAAATTTGATATATTCATTAAATAATATGATATTTTTAAATTTTTCACTACTTTCAAAAAGTATTTTCTACTTAAAATAAAAAAATATTTTCCTAAAATTGAATTAAATTTTTTTAACTAAAAATTATTTTTAAACTAAATTTTTTAATAATAAATAAATATATAAAAAAATTTGAAATATAATTCAAGAAAATCACTTTCCATCGACTAAACGCCACCTAAATGCATTTGCTGAGTGGCTTAAAGCAACGTGTCCCAATTGCCTTCATTTTGAAAAACGCTGCTGTATTCGATGTTGGAACCACGTGTCTTGGGCTACAGTCCTCGACTTCCATTAAATGTCCCTCAATACAAATGCCTTGATGCACCTGATCAATTCCTAACAGCTAGTCAGCTGCTGTACTGTTCTTCACTCATCAAGACACCACGTCAAATCCGATTGATACCCGATTCTGGGATCGATCAAAAAAATAACATAGATTATATGTAAATTTATAGGTTATTCAGTTAATTGTTTTTATTAAAACAATAAAGTTTTTTTTTTAAATGTTAAATCCAATACGGTTACATGAATCTAATAAAAAAAACTCCGTTTATTTAATTTAACTAAAAACTTACCTTATATCAGTTGTTTTTATTAAAATAATAACACTATATTCTTATATATATATATATATATTTACACTGGTTAATTTAAATTTTATCAAGCAATTAAAAAGTAAAATTAGTTTTTTAAGACAACCTGTCGGTCTGACCCATGAATAATCATCATTATTAGCTAAAAACTCACTTAATCACCTTCTAATCCTCCCCTCTAAAAATCCCAACATCCATAACAAAATTCATTTCCCACCAAAATCACATGTAACTAACTGCGCCAATGCAAATCCCTTCTTCACTCTCCCTCTTCCGCCATCGCACTCCCACCTTCTTCCGCCACCGCCAAAACCACCACCCTCTCCTTATCACCGCATCCAAACACCACCAAAACCAACCCAATGTCTCCCGCAAACAACCACCAAGTAAAAACCTCCTCAAAGCCAAAAAAAACCTAACTTCCAAAAAGGACTTCTCCACGCTCTCTCCGATCCTCTCCCCTGACCACACCCCTACCGACCTCTCCGATTCCCAAGCCATCGGCACCGTCGCCGCTTCCCAAGCGAACTTCATGCGCGTGATTGTCACCACTGAACCTGAGAAGATAGAAGATTCTAGTAGCAGTAGTAAAGTTGGAACTGAATTGCTGTGCGTGGTTCGGGCGGTGTTGAAGAAGATAAAACGGAGAGTCTTGGTTGGTGATAAGGTGGTGGTTGGATCAATTGATTGGGTAGATAGGAGAGGAATGATTGAGAATGTTTTTCAACGGAGTTCGGATATTTTAGACCCGCCGGTAGCGAATGTGGATCGGTTGTTGGTTCTTTTTTCGGTTGAGCAACCACAGTTGGAATCATTTGTGTTGACTAGGTTTTTGATTGAGGCCGAATCTACTGGGATTCCGATTACCCTCGCGTTGAATAAAGCAGAACTTGTTGATCAACAGGTTAATTGTTGTTCGTGCTTGTGCTTGTTTTTTTTCATTTCAGTGCTTTTTTTTTTTAAAAAAAAGTTGTTTTCGAAATGTGTTTGGCTTGGTTGGAGTGTGGAATGTGAATTTGGCTTGGCAATGGGTGATTTGATGATTTTGGGTTTGTTCATTGTTTTGGAATGCTGTTGGTGTTGGGATGTTGGGTTTTTGTTGATGCTGGATTTGTTTGGTTTTATTGGAATGTGGTAGATGTTGTGTTGTTAGATAGCATTTGGTTACTATCTCGATTCAGAATAGACGGGGAAAATTACCTTCGAAACTCTTACATGTTTTCGTCACCGTCCCTCCAGCTAAACATGTTCTTGTTTCTTTTGTATTTTGGTTGGTTTAATTGCTTTTGTTAAATGTGAAATTTGAATTTTGTGATTTATTTTGGAAATGGTGAATTTGTTAGTGATTATTTCAGGTTGTTGACTTTAATGGTTTGTGATTTTCTTTTCTTTTTCTGGGGGATTTGTGCAGGTGTTAAGTGATTGGGATACTAGATTGAGAAGTTGGGGTTATGAGCCTCTCTTTTGTAGTGTTGATTCGAAAATGGGGCTTGATAGTTTGGCTTCTGTTTTGAGAGATCAAACGACAGTGATTGTGGGTCCAAGTGGAGTTGGGAAATCTAGCTTAATTAATGCTTTGAGGAATAAACCCAATTCCCAAGTTGAAGTAGATAATTGGTTTGACCCTGTAGGTTTGTCTGATCTTTCAGCGATCATTTGTTCTTCTTTGTGAGAATTGCTCATGTGTTTGATGACTGTGTATTGTACGTGTGGTTTTACTAGATAATGGGTAGCAAGTGGTTTGAAGATCAGCGTGTCGGTAAAGTTTCAACGAGAAGTGGTAGAGGGAAGCACACTACACGTAATGTCTCTTTGCTTCCACTTGGTGGAGGTGGTTATCTCGCTGATACTCCTGGGTTTAGCCAACCTAGTTTGTTGAAAGTAACAAAGCAATCTCTTGCCCAGTATTTTCCGGAGGTTTGAGTTGTTGCCTTTTGATTGTCTATGTTAGATGAATTGTTTTGTTCACACCTGATTCCTTTGTTTATGGTGTTTGTTGCAGATAAGGAAAATGCTTGGTGACAATGAACAGGCCAAATGTGCATTCAATGATTGCTTGCATGTTGGCGAACCTGGGTGCATAGTAAAAGGGGATTGGGAAAGGTATCCCTTGTATTTCCAGCTTCTTGATGAGATCAGAATCAGGGAAGAATTTCAGTTAAGGACATTTGGAACCAAGAGGGAAGATGACGTAAGGTATTACATTAAGTAGTCAAGGATTAAGTGGACCTTGTACCTAATGCATGCTTTGTTTGCTAAATGCATTAAAAATCTGCTATTGTGCATGTTGTTAGTACAGCAATACGAGGGTAGGAAAATAGCAGGTTTAGTATCTTTTGCCGCTTGAACATGAATGCTTGTAGAGAAAATCATGACTATGGGAATCGCTGAGATAGATAATAGAAACCGCATCTGCTACAGGTCTCACAAAAAAAATCACACCATCCCTCGAAAAAAATCAAATCTTTATTTTGTTTGTGTCCAACTAGTTTATGAGAGTAGGAATTTTTATTATTCTAAAGATGCAACAGAAAAATCTTCTGTATTCTTCTCATGTTTCATTTGTACCTTTTCATTCTCCAAGGATTTTTCCTTGGATTATGGTTAGCATTAGATGTACTAAGACAATTCATCTAATTTGCAAACAGAATAACCTTGCTATGCGTGAAAAGTAAGAAATTCTAATTTAAAAGCTTCTCGCTTTGCTTACATTAGTTTATTATTGAGAAGCAAAATGCTGGAGCAAGAATTTTGCAAAATCATTGGTTACAATGAATGCCTACCGGTCGTTGATAACCTTATTTACTACTCTGCTCTCTCTAGATTGACATCATTGTTACTTTAGGCTTGACTTCCATTATTCTGGCTCGGGTCGTTGCTGTCAGAACAACCTACTTTTGCCAATATTGCTGGTCTCATTTTCTGAATTCTGAGTGTCATCATTCACAGGTACAAGGTTGGAGACATGGGTGTCCAGCAAGCAGAGCCACGTTTGGAGCCCAAGAAGCATAGAAGACAGTCTCGCAAAAGGATTAACCAATCAATACTAGATGAGTTGAATGAACTTGATGATGACGAAGATTTGTTGGATGATGAAAACGATCCTATCTTGAGGGCACTCAAGAATGAAAATCTTTAGCAAGTTAACTGTGGGCAAGCATAGCTACACTGTAAATAACTAGCTTGTACCCCTTCCTCATCACAACTGCGGATCAGAATTCACAGACCAAACAGATCTGCTGGCTCGTGTCTTCATTGAAAGCTAATCCATTTTGTGGCTTTAATCAATTCTCATCTTCAATTACTGGCAATACCCGAGCCATATTTGATGCCAAATTTTCCTTCCAGATCTCCTCCTTTTGTCACGACATGCTTGCATGTATCTCCAGTAAGAATTGTGCTAAAGACCAATTTTTGAAACCTCAAAATCAGAGCACAGCAAGCAACAACACTGTACCAGGAAACTAGAGCGGCACAGATCCAAGAAGCAAGAGCTTATAGCCTAACTAGAAATTATACTTGCCTAATGGAAAATGGCACACTATTATTATATAATGAAATGAGTTCTACAGATTATATCTTTAATTGATTTGATTTAATTTTATAAAGTAATTAAGTTTTCAATATATCATTTGATTAATTTTTTTATCCTAATTAATATAATTGGCTATGCACGTCATAATTCAAAAAAAGCACGGGTGCGACTCATTTTGATCATATCAAGATCTTTTTTAATGGCACCTGGAGCGTTCATTGAAGCTGCCTCTAGAATTTATTTTTTTTTTCCTTCTTCTTTTCTTCTCTCTCGTGCTTTATTTATGGTGTCAATTTAAAAAAAAAAAAATAGCACTGGTATTTCTTTTTTTCACATGTGCTAGTTTTCAAATAATAAAAAATCAGCTTAAAAGGTGTATTTTGCATTGCATGGTTAAGTATTAAGAGTTGGCCTATGCATTTGATTGATTTAATGACTGATTTGGTATAATCAAGGGTTGGTGTCTAGGATGTGTAAATTAAAATTAGATGGCACAATGGGACAGAAAACTGCCAGAAGTGTAAAGCACACAAATTCCCACTTTAAATGACATCCCATGCTAAATCTCTATTAATCATATAAATATATAAAGTTAAAGAAGAAAGAATGTGCCAACAAGTTAATGCTTCAAGCATATGCTTGGAAGATCCCATCCCACGAAGTCTAGCCCTTTTCTTTCCTTTAAAATCTCAATAATCTCTCCTCCATCCATTCCCTCTGAGAAATCATTCATGGCCTCCATTTAGATGTCAGCTGCAATAAATCCTGCTGATGGCAAACATTAGCAAGATCAGCAGTGATGATGAAGGTGATGAAGATTGGATTCATCAGGGGGTATGGTTGAAGTTGTAGGACATTTATGCATCCAATTTGGGCAACTGAGGATCCTTTGGCAGCGCATCTAGAATGAGATGGTTATGGTCAAGAATACATTTCACCAGTAGTATACTGCTGGTTTGGTTATGTAAGAAAAGAAAAGTTTCAGTTTATTTTCTCTTCTTAATGTCTGAATACTGAGCTCTTATAATCAAATGCTATGGCAGCAGTTCTGACTAGATTGGGCTTGTTAATGTGTTTTCTCCTTGTCATATATTTTAGATTCATTGTATGTTAAGATACCAGAGTTTGAACAGGATTTTAATCTGGCGAAAGTTTAACCCCATCGAAGCTCACACAATGATAATCCATAAGTAGAATAGATGCAATCCAATAGCCACGCCAAGAGGTGAAGCCCTTGCGGATGCAGAGCAAAGTGAAACGGAACCAATCCAACACTGTAATAGCAAGAAAGTTTCTGCTTACAAGGAAAACGATGTCACACTGTATAGTGAGATAAGATCAAGACTTTCTACAAGAAAAAGTTTGAACTAGTTAGTAGTAATAGTTTTAATACACTTTCAGAGGACTATAGCTAATAATTCAACATATCCAAGCATGATAAAGATTGCATACCACGAAAGGCACGACTATTGTATTCAGATTGCATCCCACAGTACCTCTTGCCAGGAAAACAAAAACACTAACTGGAAATGTACTTTACCCTCGTCTCTCCCCCAATCATGCATTTGATTTCAACACTGCAAGTCCCTGCGAAAAGAGGTGATGAGAAAGGTTAAGCAAATTGCATGTTAATTTTGAGATGGAGCAAACTAAATTGCCAATGTAAACAAGGTAGCGTTGAGTAGATTGCACAATGCATTATGGACCTGTATAAATTCCAGCATAGTTCAGATTATTCACCTGAGAATTAACTCATGCTTGAGAAAAGTAGCAAAAGTAAGCTTCAATTTTACACGTTTTAGCAAATATCTTCCAGTCACCTCTTTAGCATGTTTGATCCTTGTTTCCTACAATATGAGCTTGAAGCCTGTTGAGAGGAAATCATCCCTTAAAGGAATAAGGTTAAAATAATGAGCAATTATGGCACAACAGGCTATTCATTTATCATTAAGATTAAGTTAAATCTCAAATTCTCAGATAAGAATACTATTGGATTGCCCTAATTGCAATAAATTGTAGAAGGAATTATAGCAAATTCTATTCTTGGAAGCATTGCATACAAAAGATACTGAATGCTTATTATAACAAGTATGTGCTCATCATCTGCAAACATTTTCCAAATGAAGAAATGATACATAACCTCTTCTTCACTGTCCTCCTTTCCTTCAACCTCTTCTTCACTGTCTTCCTTTCCAGCTTCGGTCGAAAAAGGGCTATTCAAACATAAAATTGTTTCGAACTTCCCCTCCTTCCATCCTTCAATCACAAAATCGACAACTCCTTTCTTCTCTGTATCGTACCAGACAAGCCTTTTCATATCCAATGCCAACAAAACAGCCTTACCTTTCTTTGAATAACCAAAAGGTCTCAGATAATCATAACAAAGAACCCTACTCGAAATCGAAAACACCTTATTCCAAGATTCCCCAACCCCATATTCTTTCATAACCCAAACATCAACACCCACATTTTCAAAATGAGCACAAACGCACAAGCAACCACCCAACACACCTATATCCAAACCAGACATACCCCCCCCCTAATCTGGCTGCGGCAACTCTCTAAACCCATCAACTCCAAGATCAAAACCAACAATCATTGTAGGACAACATCTAAAATCATCAAACCTACTAGCAATCCAATGCAATGCTCCCCTAACATAAACACCCATTTAATGACCAGTCCTAAAAAATAAGGCATCTTAATAAAACAGGACAAATATTTCTTTGCGCTATATATTATCATTTCAGATTCTTCCACATTAGCATCTGGTGGAGATGATATAGTCGTTAGAAATGGAATCGTAACCAACCCCATATGCTCTTCCGAAAGCCCTATCTTTACCTGAGACAAGCAAACCAAGATTATTAAAAATTCATGGGAAAAAAAATGTTATCTCTTTATATTCCTTTACCCATGGATTACATACAAAAACGGCACCACTTGCGTAGGCGGTTTGTAAATAAACCATTACAAGAACCTATCAAGTGAACATTTTGGTTTGGGATTGTCATCCGGGGGTTTTCTCCCAAGGTGACTGGGTTGTGTCCAGGACTAAGAGCGTCAAAATCAACTGAGAAAAGGCGGCCATTTTTATCTCAGACGGAAAGGGCGTTGTTTGTGTTGGTTTTGATCGAATTGTTCATGTGGATCTTGATGCAAGCACTGCTGCCCATCAAAGAACGCCATTGTTTTGACACAAATATACAAGCGTAGGAGCGTTTGGATGCCTAATTTGGAGAGAATTCCGGTTATGATTTCTGGTGGCACGTAGCTCGACATTATTTTGGGTCTTGATTTAATGAGAATTTCTTATGCTACCGGATATTGCTACAGGGTTTTTTTGGGCATATACACCGTTTTTGGGTATATACACTGTTTCTGGGCTCACGGGCTCATGTTATTGGACTCTATGTTCCATACCCATATGATTTCCAGGTTTGTTTCCATCAAAGGGCTTCTTTACAGAATTTTGGAGGTTTTTTTAAAAAACATTTAATTAAGAATATATTAAAATAATTTTTTTATACAAAAATAAAATTTTAAAAATAAAATCTACAATATACCAGTGCCAGATTGACATGAAATAAATAAAAGTTTAAATTATAGTTATTTAACTCAATTAAACACCTAGATAATTAATAACCCAAGAACTTGACCCAAGAACTAACCTGATTTAGTTTTTAATTAAGTTAAATAAAATTATGAAGTTTTATTTTAAAAAATAAAAAATAATTTTCATAATAATAATTTTCTTGAATTAATTTAATTAACAATCAAGTCAAAATTCAATTCAATTTTTTTAAAATTTTCAAAACAATGTAAATTTAACTTGAATAAAATAAAACAACTTCCTTTTAATTAATTAGAGTAACTCATTATAACTCAAGCCTTAAGTCCCTTAACTCGAGCTTTGAGTTTGATTGGATCTAATTGGCACCGTTTGGAAATGTGATACTAACCACATTTAATAAAAAATTATTATTTTTTTATGTTTTGAATTGTTTTTATGTTTTGGATTGTTTTAATCTCAAAAATAATTTAAAAAAATAAAAAATATATTATTTTAATATATTTTAGCGTAAAAAATATTTGAATAACAACATCAACTACACTGCACTTCCAAACATACATATTGTACTCCAGTTGCATCCCAAATTACAGAGAATAAATTTGATAATGCTTGATGTCAATGCCTGAGTCCTACCCATCAGCCAATACTCATGGATTAACTTGTAACCCCTTGGGAAGGATAAAAAAAAAAACACCTACAGATTGATATCAAACCAATGATTTCATTTTACAATACAACTGACTGGAGAGTTTGGAGCTGCAGTTATTATCGTTGCTTTGGGTAGGAAGAATGTCACACCCAGAAAGTTTAATATCTGATGTGTTTTCCGGCAGGAAACAAACGATTTTAGGCTTACCTAGAGCTTGCTAGATGGAACCCCGGCTGATGCGTTTCGGGATTTCTTTTCAACAGCTCGGGAAACCTGCTTGACTTCATCTTTTGGAAGGTGGCGAGGACGGCTCAGCCAAAGTCCCCCGTCAACAATGAGAGTGGTTCCATTGACGTATTTACCTTTAAAATTTAAACAAGGGGATGAGTTTCTCAACCAAAGAAGAAAGTTAACATTTTTCACCAATTAGCTGTTCTCTTGTGCCCAAATAAAAAAAGAAAGTCCAAAAGAATTAACATTCGGTGCATTTTATAACCAAAAATGCTGGCAAAGTGCATGGAATTTGAAGACAAAATGAAAAGGCCAAACTAAATATTGCACATGCACAGGAAACGATTACTGCAAGTCTGTAAAATACTTCCAATAAAACTCTGTTGAGTTGAGTTGAGTTGTACCAGAAAAACTAATGGAAACCATGAATTTTCACATACATTAAGAAAACAAAGCCTATAGGAGTTAGATCTCAACACCGAATGTATCTCAATACTGAATGTAAGGAATCCATTGTTCTCAAAGTTCCCGTTGAACTTGTTAATATCAGATGCAAAGATAGATTTAGTTTGAGAAGTGACAAGTGATTAGACGGTTCCAGTGCACTGACAAGTTGGATGATGTGCAAGCATGAAGGCTCGCTACTAGATACTGTTGGAGACAGACAATTTGGAGATGTGGGAAATCCAAAAATAAACACTTAAGAATCAAACAGGATTCACTAACCAGCATCAGAAGCAAGGTAGAGAGCGGCCATAGCAATGTCCCATTTCTCTCCTAGTTTATACAGAGGCATGGAATCTTTAGCTTTGCTATTTATCTCTTCCGGAACAAGCTTACTCATGCCAGGAGTGCCACTAATGGGGCCCGGAGCAATCCCATTCACCCTAATATCATAGTCAGTACCCCACTCCAGTGCCAAGTTTCTACCTATGGCGTCAACAGCTGCCTGTTTGGAAAATGAAACTTTAAGAAAGCTTAACTTGACAAGCAAAATATACAAAGTACCCATTAGTCCATTTGGCGGACCTTTGCTGCAGCTACGTTTATTTGATACCAAGCTGCTGTGTAGTGTAAGGTAGCACTTATATTTAAAATTATTCCACCTCCAGATAAGCTTTGTCCAAGCCCTCCTTTCTTGAGATAAGGAAGTGCTTCATGGCACATTGTGAAGGTGCCAACAGCATCAATATCCAAAACTGCAAGGGGGGAGATAGAAGAACAATAGGATTTTGGTGAAAACCAGACAAGAGCCTATAGCTGATAAGTGGGCCCAGAGCTAGTTACAGTATCAAAGGATAATATAATCACTTCATAAAAGATTATACATAAAATCTCATTTTTGCTTAGCGCTCCAGTGAACCTTTACCTCAACGCTTTGACTAACCTGTTATGGATCAACTGATTTCGATGGTCATCATTTAGTTTTTACCTTCTTAATCCCTTAAGGTCCTTACTAAAACTCAAAGGCATGTCCAACATCCTAACCAAATGGCCCCTTACTACATTTGAAGAAATAAAAATGGAAAAGATCTCTGATTATCAGTGAAGTTCTTTAGGATGGTTCATTTCCATGCCATAAACAGTGAAAGTGCTAACAGGATCGATATCCAAACTGTGAAGGGTAGATACAAACAATAATCTCAGCTTTGCTTAAAGACACCAGCAAACCTCAGCTCATTCTCACTACTGGGACAAATCTCTTATTAATTCTATATTTGTCATTAATTTTTCACATTCACCATCCTTTTTTGGGAATCCTATCAAAAAACTAAAGGCAATTCCAATCATCCAGAAGAACACCATGAAACCAAATGCTCCAGTTTGAACTTACAAAAAGATCTTTTAATTACTGCTGAAATTCTTTACGAAGGTTCAGTTCCACACATAAAGGGTGATTTTAACCCACCAAATTCCCAAGTAAAATCAGCTATGGCAAAAGACTGTCCAAATTCTATCAAATTGCTATCTCAACTTCAGTATGTTCAAGACTAGCAGTTGTTACAATGCAAAAGAATTTCTTAAACCTGTTCGAAATCCATTAGGAGACAAATCCTCAGGAGATACAAGAAAGTTGCCAGCTGCACCATTCACCAGAATATCAATCTTGCCAAAATGTTTAAATGCTGATTCAAGAACTCTTTTTGCATCTTCCCACTTGCGAACATCCCCCTCAAATCCAGCAGCCTGCAGATATCACAGCAAAATGAATGCGAATTTGAGATAAAAGACCACTGAAAGTTTGATGTATTATAAAAAAGCGCTGAAGAGTATCCAATGAATAATCAATAAAATCTATGCCATGAGATCAACATTAAACCCATGAACGGACTCCACGTATCAAATGATTAAACGGAGAAATTCAGACAGCAATGCTTCTTCCATTAGAGTCTTTCCCTACGAGTTTAACATTTGCAATTATTCTAATAAAGCTCCCTACTTTCAGTAAGTTTACTGTTATAAATCAATCCTAAACTATACGCAACAGACAATGATACAAACCCAGATGTTGAAAACACTGTCTTCACACAAAACTAAAACATGAATCAAACACAAGACAGGGAAAAAAAACTTTTTGCAATAAAATTAACTAAAGCTCCCTACTTTCTGTATCTCTATAAGGAAACATAGAATCGGATGATTTAAACACTGTCCTAACACAAATGAAACAGAGGTCACGGAAAACAAGCAACTTTTACCGAGAAATGAAACAAACATAAACAAAATAAACCCAGAAGGAAAAACCAAAAATCTTACAGAAATCCCAAGTGATTGGAGATTAGCAGCAGCAGAATCAACAACCTGCTTGCGTCTACCCATGATGGCAACAGAGGCACCATGTTTACCAAATTGTGTTGATATTTCAAACCCAATTCCTGATCCACCTCCTGTTATCAAAGCTACCTTTCCTTTCAGGATATTTGCTTTAAATGGTGATTCCATTTGATTCTCGATTTTTGATTAAAAAAATTGCTCTCTCTCTCTCTCTCTAGAGAACCCCCTGATGGCCGGATCTTCTCCTGTCTACTTTTGTACATGGAAAAGCTTGTGCCACATGGGAGAAGTAAGAGAGTAAGTTACCTGTTTGGTCCTCCAAGTTTTCTATCTTGTTCATTTTAATGGTTTACTAAATCTTAACGCCTTATACTTTCAATATATGGTTGCTTGGTCCCTTCATATGATATTTGGTTTAAACTCAGCCAGATTAAGTTGAAAAAAGAAAAAAGAAAAAAGAAATAATTTGATCCATGAGGTGATGATTCAGATTATTTTTACCTGAGGTCGGGACTCAATAAACAAGGCCGTAGCCCATAAAAATACTTGAAAAGGTCGGCACGGCAGGCACAGATTTCCAACAAATCTAGAAGTTCTGTTGATGTTTATAAAACCCTAACCTCATCATCAACCAACGCAAGCGAGCGAACCCTAGCCATAGCCACCAAATCGTTAACAGTCTCTTTTCCTCCTCAAAATCCATGGCGAGAAAACGAAAACTCGACTCCAAATCCACCGAAACAGCAGAAGAACCGCCGAAGAAACAACAGCAACAAGAAGAACCACCAAAGGAAGAACCTCAAGAAGAAGAAGTAGAAGAGGAGGAGGAAGAAGAATATGAAGAAGTGGAAGAGGAGGAAGAAGATAATGAAGATGATCAAGATGGAGAGACCAATCAAGACGCTCAGATCTCAGCTGTTGAGAATCTAAACGACGACGATGACGAAGACGAGGAGCCGATTGAGAAACTTCTTGAACCTTTTGGAAAAGACCAGTTGATTAATTTACTTCGTGAAGCAGCGGATGGTCACCTAGATGTTGCAGATAAAATCCGGCAAGTAGCTGACCAAGATCCGGTGCACCGGAAGATTTTTGTTCATGGGCTTGGTTGGGATACGAATGCTGAGGCTTTGGTCAATGCGTTTAAGCCTTATGGTGAGATTGAGGACTGTAAAGCTGTGTGCGATAAGGTTACGGGGAAATCGAAGGGTTATGGGTTTATTTTGTTTAAGAAAAGGAGTGGGGCGCGGAAGGCGTTGAAGGAGCCGCAGAAGAAGATAGGGAATAGGATGGCAGCTTGTCAATTGGCTTCTATTGGTCCGGTTCCCCAGTCCGGTGCTGGACCCTCTGGGCCGATTGCTGCTGCTGCGCAAACACAGCAGCCGGTTTCGGAGTATACGCTGAGGAAGATTTATGTGAGTAATGTGGGAGCAAATTTGGATCCTCAGAAGCTGATGAGTTTCTTTTCGGAGTTTGGAGAGATTGAAGAAGGACCATTAGGGCTTGATAAAGCGACTGGGAAACCGAAAGGGTTTTGTTTGTTTGTTTATAAGACAGTTGAGAGTGCTAAGAAAGCGTTAGAAGAGCCACATAAGAGTTTTGAAGGGCACATTTTGCATTGTCAGAAAGCTGTTGATGGGCCAAAACATGCGAAATCGCAGAAACCACCACAGCAGCATCATAATATGCAAAGCTCGCATTACCAGAGGAATGATGGAGGTGGGTATGTTGCTAGTGGGGGTCGTGGTGGTCATTTAATGGCCCCGGCTGCTGCTGGTGCTGGGATTGGGTTTAATCAGAGTGCTGCTGCTCCTGCTTTGAACCCTGCTCTTGGACAGGCGCTGACCGCGTTGCTTGCCACTCAGGGTGCTGGATTGGGAGGGCTCACTAATTTGCTTGGGACTTTGGGATCTGCTGCCGCTGTGACCCAGGGTGGTGTACCTAGTGCAGCTCATGGAATGCAGGGTGCCTATGGGAACCAGGCGAGCATAAGTCCTGGAGTGATAGGAGCTTATGCGAATCAGGGAGCTATGCAGGGTGGATATCCAAATCAGCAGATGGGACAGGGTGGTTCTGGGAGAGGACAACATGGGCAATATACCCCTTATATGGGTCACTAGGTGTCCATCAGGTATAATAGTTCTTCCGTACTTATTGAACTCTTACAGGATTTCACACATTGATTGGGACTTTAGAACCTATAGAGGATGCATATCATGGAAGAAAGTATAGTACTTCCTGTATCATGTTTTTATCAAAAAATTGCAGGCTGCAATAGAAGTTTTGCAGGGTTTATAGCACTAGGCAAAAAGAAGCCATTTTCAGTTTGTGGATAGTCATTTTGTAGTTTTTCATGCATTTAATGACCACTTCAAAGTTCGAACACTTTTAGTGTTTAATGCACTATGTTTCAATGCTAACATTTATTTGGTAGTCGGTTTTTTCAGACTTGGTTTTCCACTCGGAGGTAAGGACACTGCAGAAATTTTCTTTGTCCGACTTCATTTACTTTTAAGTCTTCACTTGCTTCAGTATTTAAATAAATATTTCCGTGATGCTTTAACCAATTTGTGAAAGATTCTGGCCTGAAAACTTTTCTTGAGAAATTGTTTTTATGTTTTCTCATTCATTTTGCAGATCCCAAATAGGTGCATCAGTCTTTTAAGTACTGGCCTGCTGATTCTTCTGAAGTTTATGGAGCTTATGCAAATGAAGTCTTTATAAATATGACCAAAAGTTACTCTTTGCTGCAAAGGCCAGAATCTTAAAAAGTCAAATGATGTTTATGTTTTCTCCATTTCCTGCGCCTTTTCTTTTTTAAAATATGTATTTGAGTTTCAGTATTTGGTTTAAAAGCTTTGGGAACAATTTGACTACTTTCAAGTATCTGTGTACTCTTTGAAGTCAATGATGTTGAACAAAACTATTTATTTACTTTCAGTTACTTAGTGCTTTTTTAAGTGTTCTAATGTACATGGTCTTGCTCATATAAAATGAATACTTTCATATGTTTCATCAACTGAATCTATTTGTGTTGAAATGATGTTATGTTTAGAACACTGAAACTTTGCTGTGATCTATAGGTGCAATCGCCTATGATGCAGACTGTATTCAAATTTGAAAATCATTTGATTGTGCATAGCAAATATGATAATGTAACAAAGACTGCTTATAATCTCTTCGGAAGTGTTCTGTTGTGCAGGCTGAGAGTTCCTAGCCCTCACCAGCTGGCTTCGAGTAATATTAGGAAATTTTCTTTCTGGGTGTGTGTGTGGGGCTTTTGGAACTTTTAACATCAGTTGACCACTCTGAATTCTGAAAAATTATGCCTTGTGATGCAAAAAAGGGTTGCAACTTTTTGCTGAGCAGTTTTAGAAGTCTGTGGTTTTATGGTGCAGAACTGTTTTAACTGGTGGTTTTTCTGTGATATTGTAATTTTAAATTGATCAAAGTGTTTTACTCACGGATGTACTGAAAATAAGTTTGACAACTTTGACAAGAATTGGTGCCTTTCCCCCTTGCATCAGCAACAGGTTGCTTTGGAAAAATCTTTGCTTTTATGATATGAGGGTGATTTAGGTTGTGGTTTATTTGTGACAAAGTTACCATATATGTTTTGAAGTAGTTTTTTGATCAAATACTCTTGAAGGCAGCATACCTTTTTGAAGTCCCTTGAGCAGTGCTTTGCGCAATCTAAACCTTGCCAGTTTTAAAATCAGAACAATTGTATAACTTCTGTTATTGGGGGTGATGCTACCTGAGAGAAGCTTGAGATGTGACTCTATAACTATTCAATGCACAGTCCGCTTAAGATTTTTTGTTGAACTTGTTTCATATATTTGAAACACCAACACTGTATATGAGGCCCACAGAATGCGTGGCATTATGGATTTGCTGGTCACTGTTCCACAAAATAACTGGTGGTTGCGAGGGGGTCAAAAGGTGAGAAATCAGCTGTAATGATTCTTTAATTGTCCAAATGAATTCTCTTAATTTGTTGTGCATTGCAGTACCTGAGTCCATAGAATTGCATGGGCCTTTTCTAAAGTCTTGTGGCTCACCCCTGCTAGTTTTTAATTAAGTTAGTTGAGTTAAAGTGGGAGTCAAAAGCATTTTGTATTCAACTCTTCAACCTTATAACCATGTGATAGAAGGAAATAATATGTGGTAGTGAATCAGAAGATAATACATTAGTTCAAATGCTATTCTTTGATTCTACTAATTAAGTTAGTGTTATCCTCACGTTGTATTGCATGAGTATATAGAATTTCATAGACGTGTCGAAAAATCATGTAGTGATCTTCACCCTGTTGGATTCTGATTAAGTTTGTTGAGTTGGATTTTGTGGTTCTTTCTTCGTTTCTCTCTTTTATTTTCTGCTGTGTCTGAATGCATGCATGGCAACTATACCCTCCACGTTTGCATTTTGTTACCCTATCATTTTCAGCACTCTATTGTCATCATGCTAATGACAAAAGGAATGACCTATAATTTGTTCATAAAAGAGTAAATTATATATATATATATATATATATATATATATTATTTTTATTTTTTTTTGGGGGTGTGGGGTTCATGTAATAACCCTCCTATTTATTGTTATGTTACAAGCCATTAAATATATGAAGAAGAAAAAAGTTATGAATTTAACAAAGTGACATCTTTCACTGAAAACACATGGGAGCTGAAAGCTAGCATGTTCTACCACGGGTTTCAAAGTTTAAGTCACTTCACTCTGATGTGTTCATATTTTGATTCTGAATGCAGTTGATATGGCTTCTCAATGTCGAATTTTTTCAAATCTGTCAAGTTTCTAAGTTCAAGTTACCTTTCCACTCCAGCTTTTCAGCATTATTTTCACGGAATTTCTGCTTGCTTTGTCTTGAAAAACTCAATATAGCTCTTTGCCTGATATTCGGATGGCTTTGCTTTAAAGTTGAGACTGAAGATAAACTTGTATGCATGACTTGAGTATATACTATATAGGTTTCTTGAAAGCTTGTGCCCCTCTTTACCCTTTAGAAGCGTGGGATAGATTGGGTGGATATTTGTGTTTAGCAGATTTCAGTCCCTATGGAAGCACTCAAGGGCTTTAAAGCAAGGAGGCGGCATGGCTGGGAGATGATGTGGATCGTCCTAGGATGAGTGATTAAGATACCATGGCTAGCTTATTGGTGCCTCTTTGGTTGGTGGACTAAGGATTGCTTCCCCAAGGTTTTCATTCAACGTAGAAATTCTACTTTAAATGGGTTGAAACCCCAAATTCTAATAATTTCTATTACTATTGATAAATTGCGAGTATGATTTCATTGATATTTTTCTTTGTAATTTCGTACAGTATGCCGAAATGGGTATTTACCAGAGTAAGCGAACCAGCTAAATTGATAAACTGGGTTGGTTATATTATTCCATCTCCGAGGCTTGTTAATCTGTTTTAAAGTGTTTTTTAAAAGGTATTTTTTTGTTTTATTGAAACAATGTTTTGTTTTTTATTAATAAAATGATGACATTTGAGGTTTTTTAATCAAGTGCTCAAAGAAATGAAGGGCTGCGGTGCAGTGTCCCCTATTTTCAGGGGAAGTGGTAGAGAAAAAGCCTCTAGGCAGAGCACTAGCTAACAACCAAGTAAAATGGTGTCCCTGTTCTTTTCAGTGCAATAAGTGGCAGAGAAAATGCCTCGAGTCAAAGCACAAGTGCATTATAGAATTTACTGAAACAACTTTAATTTAAAATTTGTAGCAAGTGCTTTTTTTTTTTTTTTTATGTTGTTTTGAAGGATTGATCATGTTGACGTATGGCTGTGGAGTAGGCAGTCATGTCTCAGCAGCAGAACAAAGGAGGGGAAATGCTTGTTGGGCCCAGAGTTGCTGTCTTCTAGTGCATGCCTGTTTAGAAAGCATTCCCCTCTATATTTTATCCCAACCTTGCGCATTACAAAAATTCTCAAGGGTTTTGTGGCCAGCTGTACCAACCTTACAGAGCAGGTACATGCCTGCTCAATGAAGCTGACACAGTGTGATCAGCTGAGTGATAATTAAAAAAAAAAATCATTTGGCCATGAGAGCATGTTAAGGCTTGGAAATCTGCTGTTCCTTGTGTATTTTTTTTATGTTATGAACTTCAGCTATTGAATTACCAGATCAAAATTTGAGTTATTGAATTAGCATATCAATTTAGATCGAATATTTTTTTATTAAAGTGATGTTGCTTTATTTAAAAAAAAAAATAGTGTAGGTTTAACAACTATGGTAGAAGAGAGCATAAATTCATATTTTTCTATTTCAAAATAAAATTAAACATCATTGATGATGGATCAATCTATCTAAACAAAATTTACGGCAGATTAATCATCTTGGTCAGGTTAATATCAAGAATTGTTTTTAGAATTAATAAAAAAAATAGTTAACCTTAATTGAACCAATAACCCAATAATTCACACTTTTTTTTTTATCAAATCAAACCCCGGACCTCACAATTTACCTGGAAAAAATAAGGGGACTTGAATTGAATTTGAGGGACGACATTGAATAACATAGAATAGGTTCAGGTCATCACTGGTAACCTTTTGTTAATGGTTTGGGATGAAATTAAGAAATGCAAAAGGACTTGCTTGTTATTTTCCATAAAGAAGCATGTTGTTTGCACTTTATTGAGAGAGAAAAAAACGTGGGAAGCAGGAAACATTTGCACGTGCATCCTTCCTCGGCGGAAAGCGTAGGCACATCCTCGTATGCATACACACATCATGCCTCACTATATTATATTTTGGAAAGAAAATATTTTTAACGAAAAAGAGAAAGGCAACAATTGGAATGTGGGTACAGTTGGGAACTGACACTGCCCCACTAACAACTCACTGCCATACAAAATGGACTTCTGTAGATTCAGATCAGATCATGCCTGTAAGTACATAAACCTTAAAATCTCGTAGATTCTCTTGCTTCTTCTGTCAGAATTTCCGATTTTCTCCTGCTGTCCTTAGGACAAAATCACCTGTCCTTTCTTTCAGAAGTTTCGTACAAATTGGTTTATTGTTAGTCTTGTTGCAAGGCTCACTTCTTTCACATACATTTGTTTCCCCTTCTGGGATCTCGTTGTTTTTGCTGGAGAATGTTCTTCTCTGGTCCTTGCAGCAACATGAGCTGATGTTTTTTTAGCGTTTTTGCTCTCTTTCTGGTAATTGTTTTCTCTTAGAGTGTTAAATTTGATTTCTTCGTTTATCTGGGTTTCATTTCATTTCATCATATATTGGTTTTATTCGATCATATGTCTTGGTTTTGAGTTTTGATCCTGTTTCTAGCTCGTTGTCTATCAAGTTTCTGTCGGTCCCATGCTGCATTTTTATTAGATTAAGAGAGAGATTGCTCAGTGAAACTGGTCTTGATCCGTGAAGTGGAATGAATAATAAGTGGTTTAGCTAGATTAGATTGATAGTGAAAGTGGGGAAACAGCCAATGGGGTCTCAAGGTGGCTCATTTGAAGAAGAAAATCCAGAGTCTCTGATGGGGCAAGGCTCATTGTGCAGCCTGACACTTGATGAGGTTCAGAACCAGTTGGGGAACTTGGGGAAACCATTGGGGAGCATGAATCTTGATGATCTTCTCAAGAGCGTAGACATTTTGGGTGCTTGGTCTGCACCTATGAATCGACAAGGGAGCCTAACATTGTCAAGGGATCTGAGCAAGAAGACTGTTGAGGAGGTATGGAGAGATATACAGCAGCTATATAAGAAAGATGATGATAATCCAGGGAGGAATGCTCCTTTTGGTGAGATGACTCTTGAGGACTTCTTGGTTAAGGCAGGGGTGGTTACGGAATCGACTCCTGTACAACAACAGGAAAGTAATCAATGGATGCAATTCCAGCTTCCTTCAGTGCAGCAGCCAGTGTATCAAAATAACATGATGACAGTTGTGGATGCAGCATATCCTGATTCCCAAATGAACTTATCCCCATCTTCTTTGATGGGGACTTTGTCGGACACGCAGACTCCTGGGCGGAAAAGGGTTGCTCCAGGAGATGTGGTTGAGAAGACCGTTGAAAGGAAGCAGAAGAGGATGATTAAGAACCGGGAATCCGCAGCTCGTTCACGTGCAAGGAGGCAGGTTGGTTTTTCCATTTGGAGTTTCTCTGTGCATGAAACAGTTTGATACTTCATTCAAATATGTGCAAAGGGTGTTGATATTTTGATGAAATTGAACATCAGGCTTATACACACGAGCTGGAGATTAAGGTCTCTGATCTAGAAGAGGAGAATGAGAGACTTAGAAAACAGGAGGTAGGCTTCATTATCTTTCCACTGGCTACTTCTTTGAAATTCATGCTTGCCTGCAACCACTTGATTTACTTTTACGGTGCTATAATCATCTTTAGTAGTTTGAATGTTCTAGCAAGGCTGCATTAACCCTGGTACATTGTGTTTGTCCCACAAATAATAAACCTAGCATATTGTACACCAGTCGTTTATGACTTAGCACAGAGCAACTCCAGCACAATCATAATCACGTTTTTGAATTTGAAAAATCCCCTGCATTCAGTCCCTGCTGTCTCATTGAAAGTTCTAAGTACTAACAGACTATGATATTAGACATAATGTTACGCCCTTTGTTTCCGATTTCCAGTTGTGTGCTCATGTACATTACTGCATTTACATTGGCATGGATCTCAAGTTCAATGAAGCTGGTGTGTTGTTACCATAATGCTGTATCAGAGTACTTGACTTTCCGTAGGCATAGAGAGTAACTCTAGAACTTTAGTCTGTGATGAACTGTTGCCGGTGGCTCCTGTGGCCACATCAAGGCATATGACCATGATTAAAATCCTATACCAGTACTCAACCGATTGGCTAATCACTTGATCCTCGTCTCTTGAACTCACTGAAACCAAGCCTATGGAGATTGGCTTCCTATCCGAAACATTGTTCATTGGGTATCGAACAAGACTCAGGACCAGGTAATGGGGCACAGAAGTAGTTCTTGCTGTTCCTCTATGCCGTTGCTGCTATGAGCTAAGCATGTATATGATTTCATTTCCTTACAGACTACACAACAATATTTCTTTACAATGGATTTTTCCTTGCAGAAGGCGGAGAAGGTCTTGCCACGTGCGCCGCCTCCTGAACCTAAGTCTAAGCTACGCAGAACAAGTTCAGCCCCTTTGTGATACCTTATTTTCATGGCTGACAATTGTGCTGGTGCAAGCGCAAGACATGATGACATTCTGATAGATAACCTTACTTTTCAAATCTCTATACTGGCTGGAGGATTATACATTACAGGTTTCTACTGCTGATTTTTTTTTTTTTATTGGCTTTCCTCGTGATGTCTTAAATGTACATTTTGAAATTTCGGATGTTGTTATCATGGCTTTCTAGCATTGTTTTAAAACTTGGATTTGTTTAATATACAAATACGGGGCTTGTGTTGATTCAGATTAAAAAAATAAAAAAACTCGGTTGTTGTAATTAAAAAATTTGGTTGATATATCTGATTTGATTGAAACTTAGCTATCAATTCGTTAATTTTTTAAAAACTTTTATCAAAATAACATTATTTTAATTTAAAAAACAAACAATCAGATCATTCTAAATTAATCTTTTTAAATTGTACTAAAACCTTATTCTTAATAGATTTAAGATCACGATTCTTATTCTATATTATTTCTTTTGGATAAATTCATAGAATTACCTTATGTTACATTAAAAAAAATAGCACATGATAGTTTAAATTTAAAGGTTAATTTCAATTTACTCAAAAGTTTGGATGAATCCATTCTCTCCCTAAGATTTCAATTATTTTAATGACCCTCCTGAGATTTCAATTAGGCATCAATGTCCCCTTCTAGGTAGCTTAAACAAGAAAAAAATAATATTTTTTTGGTCTCTAAACTTTTAAAATTTGATCAAACATAACCTTCTTAAAGTAATTGGATGAGATGAAATTTTCTAATCCAATTAAAATATCCAAAACGATACAATGTGTATCATTTATATTTAAAAATATAAAATACAAAATTACATTTTAGAGTTAATTATCTCTACCACCCTCTGTTTTGGGTGTTATTACACTTTGTAGCTTGAGTTGTGAAAACCTTACACTTTTCACCCTCTATATTTCTTGTAATTGCACATTCCACCTTTCATGAAAAATCTAATGGTTGATAATTAATTAGAAATTGAGTTATCTTATGCTCAAAATACCATAAAATGACAAGTCAAATGTGTACTTAGTATTAAAAATATTTAGTTCAACAAAATCTAATAGCTGATGAATAATATTATCAACAAATTTTTCAAAATGTATTTAGCCTATCTATATAAAGATGCAGCAAAAATTATTAAATCCGGCTTAACTCATGACATGGCTGAAAATTCCGCTTATGGATTAAATTAATTAATCTAAATTAATTTATATTATCGTATCAATGATA